CATATCCATTCTTGCTGCTTTAGAGTAAGTTGACCCATGAGCGGAGTACCGAACATCGACCATATTGCTTTTACCTTCAACATCCATAACACTAAAAACATCCACATTGCCTTCCGGCGTTCCAAGAATTTCAGCTAGGGTAGTTCGCAGGGTGTTATAGATGCTGTTCGGTTCCCGAACAAACTCTGCTGCATTGAACTGGGAGTCCCCAGACATTCTCATAGAACCTGAGTTATAGACAGCTTCCTCTGGCAAGTCAGTAACTGTAACGGTCACCGTGGATATCTGGTCTGGGAACTTATTATCTTGCACTAGGATCTCCATTTTATAGATTCCATCTGGAGTCCCTTCTTTTATCAGGATAACCCCAGTGTCAGTGTCAAGCTAAATAAGAAAACAAATAATACACAAATCAAAGGTGATGCTTTGACAATTTACATGGTGACTGGGACAAATGACCATTTAGAAAAGTCCCTTAAACATTTAAAATATAGACTCCAAAAAGCAATCTTTTAGACAATTTTTGTAAAACAAAACACTTAAAACTAAAGCTTTGTAGGTAATTACTGATGGACATTGCAAGTGATTTAGATTAACAAAAGACCAAGCATGGTAGACCATGGCCTTGAAAAATAGTGCATGGATGGAATGGGCCATTTTTTTCTTTTTATTCTTGTAAATGAAGTTATATGGGACATTCTGGAAAAGACAATTTAAGATGCTTGTATATCATAATAATACTTACATCAAAGAAAACCCAATCATCTTCATTAAGCTTGGTAAATGTTTTTTCATCCAAATCATCATCATCTGGATCAGGTGAGTTAACCGGTCCCACAGGTATTGTCCCCACACCTGTGGATGTGCCGCCTGTGCAACAAAGAATGGATTAAGTGAAAATGTTTTTACATCAGTTGATATGTTAAAATTTATATCTGTTCTTTTACATAAAAAATGACTTTAATTCTACGCTCTGTCATACTATCAAATTGTATGTTGTATGATCTGCCCATATATGGGCATGATGTCATAATATACCAAAGTATGGGCATATCACAGTTATGTGTCGAATAAAATTGATAGTGTGGACAAAGATTTAGACAAAGACATATTCTGGGATTCAATAGTCTTTGAAATCAAAGCCGGGCACACACTGCATCATGAATGGTTGGACAACCGTCGGCCAAAGAATCCATCTCTGGTCTCTGTGAGCACATTGACATGTGATGCTGTCTCTTGAATGTCAGTGGCAGTCTAAACGACTTGTCATTAGTTGCGCACCTCATGTGCGCTGTGTAACAAGTTTTAACAATTAAAATATTACCTTCATATGTAAAGACAGCCATTGATTTTTCACCAGCCTGATGCGGATTGTCGTTCTCATCCCCAATTTCAATTGTTACAGTTGAAGTACATGATATACCCTCATTGTCCTCAGTTTTGATCTCCATTTCATAAAATTTCTGTGACTCCCGGTCAAATTCCTTGCGGGTTCTAATTTCTGCTGATGTATCTGTGAAAGTGATGGCAATGATTAAGAAAATAATTCACTCCATATAATTATCAAATTAATTTACTTTCGGTATATTACATATAAATGCAAACAACAATGTTACAATTATATTGTACTTTTATCTGCTAGGACTAATATTTTTAATCCTAATGTCCTGGGTTCAAATCCTGCAATTTCATTATATTTTCTCTTCACTAAAGAACAACCCCAGTTAAACCCATACCCAATTTACACATGACAAAATTTACATAGGATATGTGGGTAAAATTTAGTAACCTTCCCATGCTACATCTTGTTTGTGAGCAGTTGTGTCTGTATGAGATGAGCATGCATCCATGTAATATCCATGTATCAGAAATAAGGCCAATACCCGCCCAAAGGAGAGCAATGCCATTAGGGACAAGAGATGGGCTCACGTCAGCATCAGACAAGAAGTACAAAGCAAAGCCAGCCCCATTCACGGTGCGAATGCCCTTCCGAGCCGTGCGATCCACAAAGGACAAAGCCTCCTCGGCCGCGCCCCGTGCTTTGGTCAAAAACGAAGTCTAAGAAGGAGAAGAAAGCTTCTGATCTTCCGACAATCTGCCCTTGGCAGTGCAAGGAATGGGAGGCGTTTGAATATACTGCTTGAAATGGTCCTTGAGGATCGGGAAAGCAGCCGTAAGATGCCGAGGAGCAGCAACCAGTTTAGACTTCGCTTGGAAGTTCAACCGAAGAATGAGGTCTGGATGGAGGTGCACAATGGGGACTGGGTGGGCGGGATACGCAGGAGCTGGCGGCCCCCACAGGCTTGCCCCCAAACCACCCTGGGAAGGAGTCTCAAAAGAGATGCTTAAATGTTCAAGAATGGCCGGCATCACCCGGGCAACGAGCTGGCAAAGATCGGAACCGAGAATTAACTCCACAGCTTCCAAATCAAGAAGCTCGGACTACTTGCCTGCCACAGGACCTCCTCCCCAAGGACAGGAGGACCGGAGGCCGGGAGAATAGAAGGGTCAGACACAGCCGAAGTGTGATTCAGCCCAGCAAAAACCTCCCTAGCAACACAGCCCACATGTTTGGAGATCAAGGACACCAAAGCCAGGTCAAATGGAGTGGAAAAAGGTGAGGGACTAGCCGAGAGCGAGACCGAAGGACCCTCCAACGGCAGAGGAGAACCATCTAATGCCACTACAACCCCCTACACAGCTGGGAACGAACTCTCAGATTGAGTGGCAGCCTGAGCTGCCCAATCAAGAGCTACCACAAACTTAGTAGGGGGCCAGCGTGCGCAAACCTTGCAAGGCTCCGCTTTGCTGCAAGAGCGACACAAAGGGCACTCCGAGTGTCCATCGAGTTTGACACAATGACTTGCGTGTGGACATAATGAAAGAGGAGACTACAACTCAAGCTAAAATGAAAGGATATGTCTAAAACTTCTTGAAAAGAAATAAAAAATTCCAAGGTAAAATAGCAATCCAAGAATTGTCTTACAAACGATAACAAAGAACACAATTTGAGACATATGGTCTTAGCAATTTAGGCTAATACAGCACAAAGGCGCTCCTTCAACGAACAACATCGAACAGGGAATGAGGACCATTGTTAGGGAGACGGTTTGTACGTGGCGCCCTGGGTCGGACTGTTCTATTTTTTCGAAGGGGTGTTCCATTTTTGGAACAATGGCAATTATTCGGTTTATCCAGGTAAGCATTCAAGAAATAGACTTAGCAACCTTCGCCTGCTACATCTTTTCTGTGAGCAGGTGCATCTATATGAGATGAGCATGCATCCATGTAATATCCATGTATCATGTGTAATTTAAGTAGCTTCATAAAGGCCAACGCAGCCAGATGCAATTTGTTGTCGCGTCGTATCTGTGCGAGTTAAACGCATACTCGATGCTTTGCGTCGGGGCAGTTGTGTTGTAGAATATTAAACATTTTTAGTACTTCTCACGACTACCTACGAGAAGACTGTCCCCCGATGATGAATCGCGTTCAGCTATGTTATACGACGCTGTCTGAATTGGCCTTAAGAGTTTAATAGAGCATCACAACTAAATGAATTCTGAGTTTCTAAGGAAATGATAATGCTTTCTGGGTAGCATTGACAGTGCCTTGGGATGGATGGTTTCATTATTATTTGAGTTAAATATCAATGGCAGTAAACAGTGTATTCCCATACGCATTAACAGTACTACCAATCAGCATTAAGACAACCATCTGAGTTTGCAGGATCAATCACACATATAGGATTTATGGCTTGGAAGTGAATGTAACCAACATAAGACTACAATGGCGCCCCCCCCCCACCCTCTCTAAATCTGCCCCTGAATGAAAACATTGAAAAATTGTTCTCACAACCAAAATCACCTCCTGTTTCAAATCTTAGAAAGACTTAATGTTAAGTCATTGCTTTGAACAATCGATTATACTGGAAACATTACTTGAGTTCATTATGGTAAAAATAATGTTAAAACTTGGTATATCATACCACTAATAGTTTCCAACTCAAAAGCTTCATTGACAGTGTACTGCCCTTCCTTGACATCACCATTCACAATACTGAATTTATATGGTGTTTGCACACCCTCATCTGGATCCTTGGCTGTTATAATCTCAACTACCTGAGGTGGCTTTTGGTTCTCCATTGTCTTTGGTTTGTAGTCATCCTCAAGACGTGGACATTCATCATTGACATCGATCACTGTGACACTTATTGTGCAAGAGCCAGTCGCAGGTGGGCTCCCTAGGGGGAGGAAGTAAAATGCCATGTTGGATAAATTCATTCTCCCACAAAAATCATAAAGGTGACAAAATATCAAAACATATTTTTTTTATGTATTGTATTCTATAATTATCTTTTTCATGTTTTGTTATTAAGATCTTCATTTTTTATGTACTGTACCTGGACTTTACCACAATATTGTATGTTGCTGTGTTGTTGTTTTGTGTATATACTGGTATATATTTAGTCAATTCAGCGAATGTATGTGTTAGCCTACAATAGGCTGTTTGAACCTGAAGCCACAATACATGCTAATTTAATGATAAGATGCCTTACCATTATCTATTGCCCAGACTCTGAAATTGTGAGTAGGACTGTCTTCCCGGTCAAATGGTTTATCTTGAGTTACAATTCCTGTGTCTGAATCAATGGCCAGCCATTTTTCTACATTGGTAGCTGGGTCAATTTCATAACTGATTGAAAATAAATAATTTTAAGTTAAAATACCTGAGAATTGGTATATTGTAGATTTACATGTAGTATGTTTTTACATTAATAAGTGTATACTTGTATTCAGTATATGTTGAGATGCAATAACTGTAAGTTAAAATCAAATAAAATGTATTCTGATGAATATATAAATCATGTACAAGATATCATTAAAAATATCTTACTCGCTGAGTTTTTTTTCAAATATTTTTCAGATCATAAAAATACTCAGTGCTATTAAAATGTTAGGTGTTATTCTTTAGCATTATCACACTTATTTCCTCTCATTCCTACCTTATATCATCTCCTTCTACATCTGAAGCTGACACAGTGATGAATGGATTTGACATATTATTCTCCACAACACTTTTGAAATATGTTTCTTGTCCGAACACAGGTGCTTCATTTACATTAACTACGTTGATCGTAGCAGTAGCAGTGTCGGCGAAAACCTGATCACTTGCTTCAATAACCAGATCGTACTTAACTGTTGTCTCAAAGTCTAGTTCCTAAATAGGTAGGTAAAAAATCCTTTAAGTCACAGGTCAATGTTTTGATGAAATTATAGGGGGTAGGGGGTTTTGCCAATTTCTTACTTTTCTTATTATTGTGACATACTATTTCTGTAATATATTTTAAATATTTAAACTTGTTTTTGTTTTTGTTTGTTTAGTTGCTTTGTTTATTTATATTTTCCACATACATAACAAATTATTCATAATCTTCAGTAAAAAAAATGATTATAAAGAGTATAAAAAGTATATGAATGGTAGTCAAAATAAGTGAAAATAAACTTTAGGATATGACCACCATCTAAAATAAATAATAAATCATCATTAATAATGCGATGACGAAAAAGAAGAAAATTAAAAAATATTATGCCAAATAAGAAAATAATTAGTCTGGTTTATCTAAACAAATAAGAATTTGAGATATACAGCCATAAAATTAAAGATACAATTTAATTTTATAATGTGTTTATTATTCATTTACAATTTTAAACTTGATTGAAATAATCTGCTTTTAGTCTGAATGTGTGCCAGTTTAATATTTGCATGAAATGAAATGAAAATAATTATACAAAGTATCACATATTAACCTTACCTTCATTAAGTAGATCACAGCATTTTGCTTATTTACTGGGTTTCGAGTAATTCCAAATTCTGACCCTTCATTCCCAGACAAAAATGTAAATTTTAATTCTGCATTAACTCCGATATCTTCATCAGTCGCGAAAATATCCACAACTTTATCACCAACAGGCAGTGACTCTAAAACTGATTGACTGTAAGGATCTAAGTAGAATTCTGGCGCATTGTCATTCACATCTAAGACGATAATTGTTGCAGTTGCAGTAGCTAAAATTAAAATACAAAACTAATGAATGGATCATCATAAAATGATGTGGATTTCAATAATTGTGTTGAATTCCTAAAATTTTACGAAAATTCCACCTTACATGGTACATATTTATTTAAGGATGAGGTTAAATTTTATGGTGAAAATAGGTCATGCAGTAGTTACAGCAATTGACTATTTTGAAAATTTCCTTTCTTAGTTAAAATTTATCCTTTATTTAATTATTATTTATATCATTACTATTATTATTATTATTATTATTGTAATTATTGTTATTATTACAAAAAATAATACCTGACTCAGAGGTAGATTGATCCTCAGCTTTTACCAGTACATAGTATTTGTCAATTATCTCACGATCCAGTTCGATAGTCGTAAAGATATCACCATCCTGCTCTATTCTAAATGAAGAAATTCCATCAACGCCATCACTAGGCAAGTCAGACTCAGACAGCGGTTCAAGGGTATATTTATTGTTTGACTGAGCTGGCGAGTCTGCATCTGTAGCACTCACTGTCATCACGTATGTGCTAATGTCTGCAAGAAAAATGTAATGCAAGTATACATCATTAAGTTAATATCTTTGTAAAAACTTTAATATATAATTATGAAAGAATACCTGTATAAAACATTGTGTATTTATTTTTATTTCAAATTATTATTTGTACTGGACATGTATAGCTATCTCAGGGTGCACTGAAATTTCTCTATCCATTTTAGACACATAATTTACATCATAATGGATTTCCCTGGTGTAGAATACTAAAACAACAAACGAAAGTCAAAAGATTGTTGGTGAATTAGGTTCTTCTAGTTGCAAATTGGGTAGAGCACAAAAGACAATCTCTTTAGTGCTCTTTCACAAAGGGAATGCTGCTTTATGTTGTACACATGCCAAATGACATAAACATTTCATGGATGGAATTGAACTGAGGAACAAGTGTTTGAAAAGGATGAAAGAACCCTGAAGTAGGCTGAGGTGGTCTGCATATCCATATATGTAAAAGTGTCTCCTTGGGCCCCTTCTATTCCAAATTCCTGTTGGTCCTTACACTTTTCCAGGATAAAACACAAGCTCTTTGGTTTGGAAGGCGTGTACAGTATTTCAGTCACAAAAATAATATAGTTAAAACTTTTACTGTGTAGAGGTATCATAACAAGACTACAGAAATTTTCAGTTATTTTTGGCATAGTTAGGAGAACCTAACCTATGACAATGAGAATCAAATGCACAAATAAACCACAACACTCACCAGCATTTTCTGCTATTTCACCTTCATATGATGCCTGGTTAAATTCAGGAGGATTATCATTGATGTCAGTCACTGAGATGAGTACATCAGTGACGCCAGTCAGTCCTGCTCCGTTTTCATCTGTTGCTTCAGCAATGAAATGCCATTCTGTTTTGTATTCATAGTCTAAAAATCGAAGAAGTGTTATCATTCCAGATGTTGAATCAATCGCGAAGTAATTACTGTCGTGTCCTTTGAGGGAATACCGGATTGTTCCAGAATCAGCATCAGCATCTGTTGCTGACACCTGTTTGAAAAAAAGTGCACATTATTGATAGTGAATAAATTTTCAATATGACGAAACATAGGTGTGTGGTAAATAAGAACCTAGAGAGAACAAGTAAACTTGGATCAGGAGGCCAAGAATAATGATCATGTAAATAATATCATGCAACATATGAAAGAGGAATTGTCCTGACCAGCATCCATTAATGCCCTCTTCTGGCAACACATAAATTACAATTAGTAGAAATATCATTTAGTTAAATTTATATAGCACTTTATACAAAAGTCTCAAAGTGCAACAAGAAATACGGTTGCAAGTCTGTATATATACAGTACACATATAATTTTCTCAAATGAAATGTCTACTTCCAGCTCTTGATCGAAACAAGGCAAAAACAAGGATTCCAAATTGGAAAAACCACTTACAGGAAACCTGGTTTAATGAGCATTCTAACCACATATAACTGTATTTTTCTATGCCTTGTGATACCAATTTTCAGCTGACAATTATTAATAAAGTAGTAATAACATGCAAGCATTTACAGATGATGTATTAGTTTCTACTGGCATGCAGCAGTGCACAAGACTGTGCTGATTTACTGGAGATTCCCGTTACTCAAGGGAAAATTGGCATCCCAAACAAGTAACAAGTAAGTCTTAATCAAAATTTAAGCAACATACTGTTAAAACATCAAATGGGAAGGCTACACTATCTTCCTCTTCTGTAATTGAGCTTCTATAAACGTCGTCAACAAACTCAGGTGAATTGTCATTTGTATCCAGGATGTTGATTGTAAGTTTTGTAGTGTTCTCATGTAAACCATCGGTAACAATATATTCCAGCTCATAAGTCTGAACTGCTTCAAAGTCTAGGCTAGCTGCGACCTTTATAGTTCCTGTCTCAGAATCTACCTGAAATACAGCACTTTGATAAGGTAACATATCGGGTAATGTCCTTCCACCAGCAATCAGGTAGTTCAATACACTATCTGAGAACGTAAGGTCAATATTAGCAAATTAGAGGTTACGTAATAGATATAAAAAAAAAACATAGTATTAATAGCAATCAACAACAATGTTTACAGTTGTTTAATGGCAAACTAAGAGTAAACTACTAAGGTGACATATCGGGTAATGTCCTTCCACCAGCAATCAGGTAGTTCAATACACTATCTGAGAACGTAAGGTCAATATTAACAAATTAGAGGTTACGTAATACATATTTAAAAAAAAACATAGTATTAATAGCAATCAACAACAATGTTTACAGTTGTTTAATGGCAAACTAAGAGTAAACTACTAAGGTGACATATCGGGTAATGTCCTTCCACCAGCAATCAGGTAGTTCAATACACTATCTGAGAACGTAAGGTCAATATTAACAAATTAGAGGTTACGTAAAAAAAACATAGTATTAATAGCAATCAACAACAATGTTTACAGTTGTTTAATGGCAAACTAACAGTAAACTACGGAACTCTTTTTAAAGGAAACAAATACAAAGTATGAATTTAAAGGAATTGAAAATTAATTGCCTTTATAGCTAGAATATTATAGATGAATAAGGACTATATTTTATGTCTATTAATTATCATATAAAATAAGCTAAAAAATAATTATAAACTGATCGTTCAACCTTAGTGAAAATTAAATATTTATTGATTCATTAATAATAATGCAGTTAAAATAAATGTTTGAATTCCAAAAACAATTCTTCCTACTGTACCTTCATCAATATCAACAGCAGTGACCGTTTCAATGGAGTATCCACTTTTGGCATTCTCAGCAACACTAGCTGAATATGCAGCATTCGGAAATGTCGGATTATTATCATTCCTATCAATGATATGGACCGTTACTATAATTTTAGCTGAAAAGTTTAAAAAAAAAAATTGAATTATAAGAACATTACTATACAATGTTAACACCATCATTACATTGCACTACCACTGTCATGAAAGCAATTTTGACAGGAATGCAGATCAGTGATGCAGGGGCGTCATCATTTGATAGGAAGTGCAGCACCATTGTTATGTCCCTGCACATATTTAGTCATCTTAATCTTGTGTGTTAAGTTTCAGTTTAGTAATAAGGTAAATGTAAACATAAAAGGACAGCTACGGGCTCACAGGCTGAAGTGTCCATCTCTCTTTCCATGGCATTTGTGCCACTGACAGTGCAATATTCTGGGGGATTTGTTACTCATCCAACAGTAGTCTGTGTAGCCAGTAACCATTTAAAATCAATGGTGTATCCAGAATTTTGGAAAGAGGGGTGTTAAATATTAGTGTCGGTCTGAGTTCACATGCACCTCAGCCGCACCAATGGTGAGCAAATTTTAAGAATAGATACCCTAAAATGGCACTATGAGACTGCAAAAAATGCTTTTTCAAAGCAGTGTTCCCCTACCTTTACCTTTATACTTTCATGAATCTTTGTGATATGGATAAAATAGGTGGCTGACCTCAAAGGCAAATAATATTACTGAAGCTGTGATGAATGTGCATCATTTACTTAATTAACCAAAAATGAAATAATTTATGAATTAAATTAACAAATGATTGTATGTTAATGTTAAAGTAAATATATTATGTAAAATGTACCTATTAATTTACTATTTTGTTTTTACACTTGAACAAAAAGGGGTCAATTGCTCATAAGCACCGTTAACACCCCTCCCCCTTCCTGGATATGCCACTGATAATCCTGGGTAGAGAGAAACACAGATACAGTGTTTTTGTTCAAGGACAAACAAATCAGGGAAAAAATAAAGGAATAATGAGAATTTCAAGTAAATACATCTTGTTTGATGAAATGAAGATTATACCTTTTAGTTTTAACAAACAAAGAATAGTTACGGTATACACTCGACCGACAGTTAAGAAGACTTGTGGTATATGATTGAAAATAAGGTCTAAACACAGAGAAAGAATGACCCTCGCCAGTCTGGCAGACTTTACAGTATCACAATTAACAAATTCTACAATTTTACTTCACACACTGTACAGCAGAACCATGACAGTGACTAGCATATCAAAGCAGATTTGTGAACTGAAATGATGGTCTAATTTGTAAGTTAAATCCACCACTTTATTACATAATGACACACACCTGCTATTATACAATTTTAAACACTAAAGCCATTCACTTTAATCGTGGCTGTAAAATGAAAATCAAAAATGTCAGTCAATACCATACTTAGTTTGTCAAAACTGAATATGTGACTAAAGAAAAGAAAAAGAATTAATAGCTTTTACCTATATTTGGTTCACTTGGTGAAATAGAAGAAGGGGCATTATCTTTCGCTAGGATATAGATGAGATACAATGCATTATTTTCTCGGTCAAATGTCCCGCTTGTTCTTATTTCTCCATTGGCTTGATTAACATCAAATAAAGAATTATATTCCATTGGATCCTGTTCGTAAAGTACCTGTAATATAACATTTTTTTCTGTCAAAATCCACAGAGCCTGTAATTTCTATTTAAACTTTGCTTAAAATCATTCCACCTAAAAATTAATCAGATCTTGTGTGGGCCAAGTGACTCATCCCTAAATCTGATAATGTCACCTGTTACATTGCGGACTCACCTAACTTCACCTAATTTTTCATCTGATTTAAATAAATAAATTTTTTGAAATAGTTGTAATATTTTTAAGGACCCTTCGATTAGAAGGCAAGCATCTTAATTGCTAAGCTATTTTAAATTCATATATAGTTTTATAGCTTTAAACATAAAATCACTAATAACAATATTCATGAATTTGAGGGTTGATGCACATCAACCTACTATGCTTTAATCAGAAACTTTCATTTTAACACAATAACAGAATTGCATACACAGGAAGTTATTTTGTGGGGAATGATGGATCAAAGCATGACGTTGCAAAATGATTGAAGAAAATTGGTTGATTAAAAACTAACATGACTGGGTGCACCTCTGAAAAAATTAATTCTGGTTGGTGATATTTTGTTGGCTATAGTGGCTTACCATCTTATATATTGGTACTGTATCAGCATCCTCAGCATGCACTGTCACCACCAGTTTATTTTGACCTGTGTAATCTCCCTCCTCAATGTTTGCTACATACTCACTCAAGTCAAATTCTGGTGTTTGATCATTTCTATCCTCGATGTTGACTACTACAGTCAGGTAGCTTGCTAATTGGGTATTTGAATCAGTTGCTTGAATCAGGAGATCATAACTTGAAAAAAAAAATTAAAGAATTAATTGAAGGTTGGCAGTTGACTTGACTCATCTGACCCTTTTTAAGCTGAAGGGGTTTCTTGCTGATTATTTATTGTATCTATTGACTGTTCAATACTGAATTTTAATGAAGGTACTATTATAAGGCCTACAAAAAAGTTGTTTAATTGCCCTCCAACATCGCCCTAAATATCCGAAAAAAATAATAAATCAGCATAGGAAGTAACTAAATGTCTAGATGGGAAGCCTGTGTTAAATCACCTGGAAAGAGTTATGCTAATGGGATAAAAATGTACTCTCCAGGACTTAGCTCTTAGCCTGTCAAAACCTTTTATATGTTTTGCCTACATGGGAATAAGAGTTAATGTGTTCTGATGAATGTATGAAGCTGGAACCATTGTTTATGTAAATAATCGTCATAAGTTTGTTATTCAGCCTATGATCACAAGTTTGAAGAGCCATACTGACTGTACTACTGTGTTGTTTTCAGTGATTTCCAGCCACCACCCCCCCCACCCCCATGCTGAACATGCGGACAGCAAACCCAAATGCAAACACTGGGTAGGTGATCAGTTGCCGCATGCTGTGTAGATAGTACTGCGCAACAAAACATTTTTGCAGCTGCCACATTCTGTGAAAAGAAATTTATCAACACGGTACCTTTGCACTTTTTCATAATCCAAGTTATCACCGAACACGGTCACAGATCCTGTGCCTTGGTCAATCGAGAATTGTCTGGGATTATTTGTTTCAGGAGTATTACCAGGAATTATGATGTATATTATTGTTGATTGATCAGGTGAAGTCGCTGTAACTGTGAATACCTCTTCACCTATTGGCTTATCCTCAGGTACATCAACAATGAGTTGCTGTACTGTAAAGGTGGGAGCATCCACTTGTCCATCAATAAGAGTGATTTCAACCGTCCCTGTTTGATCTTGGCCTGCTTGGTCAGTTACCTTTACGGATAGTTCAATATCCTAAATGAAACAAATCGGAAATAAAATATTAACATAACAAACATAGGTAATAATAATTAAGAAATACTAAGAAACAATCCTACTATTTTTGGCAGACTAGTCACTACTTCGGTGTGTAATGAATTTCGAGAATTTTAAATTTATATACATACATACACCCACACATACTATATATACTCTCTCAGTAATTTGGTTTACTTCTTAGAAATGCTTCTCAGTATTGTTTCAATAGTAATTCTGGTTTTGTTTTGTAAGCGTTGTTTTATGAGAAAATAAATGAAAGGAAATGTATATAATAAAATAAAATGCTTTTTTGCAAAGCTATCGTAAAATAATCTAATAAGGTGAGGAGGTGGTCATTTGCCATAAAGACACATACTGCCAACACTGCTGCCCAAGCCAATTCTTACACGCCATAGACTGAGTTAAATACAGTAGAAATGTTAAGTCAGACGCACACTACATCGGAGGATTCATAACAAATCCAACTCCGACCTGCGAGCGCTTGATGACACAACCGCCTATCGATTATCAGTCTGACCAGATTGTTGTCACATGTGCCTCACTCTGCATTCTGAGGTTTCCATGGAAACAAGGTACACAATGTGTGCTTGGCATTAAAGTAATCAAAACAAGTCTAAAGCTTGGTCTACATTATCAAATTTTCTACGACAAAAACTGTTTGTTGTATGCCCATATATGGTCATGAGGTCATGTTATCATGACCCTTTGTAAGCATGTCACATGTTTTTGTCAAAATAAAATTTGATAGTCTGGACAGGGCTTTAATAGGCTGAATTGTTTATGAAGAATATTATTTACCGATGGAGCTGAAGCAAGTGAAGCTTTAACTTTAAGAGTACCATCTGCATCCAAATAAAACTCATTGCTAGGGTCCTCCAACGTGTATATCAGACCTTTCTCAATGTCTTCCAGGTCTGGATCAAATGCCTCTATATTTGTTACAACACTGTTCACTGTTAGTGAGCGTGGAATGGTCACTATAAAAAGAATGAAATTTAAAACATGTATCAATCTACTTTTTTTTGTGCATCATAAATTTGTATTAATATTAATGAAACTGGATGGAAAATTTTGCACCATCAAAACTAATTACATGTACTCCAAAGTACTCTTTTATTTAGGTATTTAGGTTCTTTGATGCTACTTTACTGTATTTATATGGCTTTGAAACACTCTGAAATACAAATATTTTCTTAATTACTTCAAATTCTGACTACATTTGTTTATATACTAAGGTTATGTATTAATTGCTGTTTGTCCATCTGTCCAAGATTACACAAATTAATGAATGGTACATATTGATATAAGAGGTGAATAAATTTTTAGGTGAAAACATTGGGACAAGGTCAAGGTCACAGAAATTCAAAAGTTTTCTTGAAACTTGCACCTCAAGAATAAAAAAAAGAATAGAATTGTCTATCCAGCCATGTGCATATTATCCAGTATTCAGGGAAAGAACCGAGGCATGCACCCTACTGAGTGATTCTCTAGTTCACTTCTGTGATAACATATTTGAAAAAGGGGTCTTGCCTTACCTTGACTTGGGCTCAACTCAGGAAATTCATCATTTGTATCATTGACAATAACTGTTATCTGGCAGAAACCTGTCAGCCCATATTTAGCAGAATCCTCCGCTAGCAACGTCAGCGAAAATGATTCATCTACCTCCCGATCAAATTCCCTTTTTGTTTTTAATAAGCCTTGACCACTACCAAGATCTTCAATTTCAAAATAGCCTCGTTTTAAGTCGTTCTCTTTTAGTTCAAATGTTATCTCCCCATTTACACCTGGATCAGCATCGGTGGCTGTAACCTAGAACAAATTAATAAGCCAAATTCACAGTGGATGAATGGGTTTCATTCGGTGTAAAGACCAAGCATAACCCACGAAAGTCTGAAAGACTTATTTCCAGTGGGGTACTTCTGGTGGTGAATGGGCAATACGCAGGGAGACAATCCCCTGCTCTTTTCTTTTCCGAAGAGTGTACTGCGTTCTTTAACATTCTGCTGAGCAAACTGATCTCACATGCGGCAGGCCTATTTACGCTTAGCTAGACTGCTAGAATAAGTTGTTCTCACAAAATCGTCCTTATTTTACTGTGCTAAAATGTCCTTGCGTACAAAAAAAGAATAGAGGCTTTTTTTCCTTAGTGCACCAAAATTGCAACACTTGTACACATAAGTAATTCAACATTTATAAAAACATTGTAAAAATTGCATATATGAATTTTTTTTTCTTACTATGAGGACTGATGACAGTCTTGGCGATCTTTCTGGAATAGACGGGGAGTAAGAATTGCAATCAGGAAACACAGGAACATTATCGTTAATGTCGTTGATACTTATAGTTACGTTTGTTTTAGCAGAATTGGTTACAGCACCCGAACAGCAAGTACCATCATCACTAGCTACAACAGTAAAACTGTACGAAGCTTTATCCAGATTATCAGACACAGATGAGCGGCTGATAACACCTAAGGAAGACATGATGTAAAGACAAAGTTAGGTTGTGGTAACAAATCAAACAACCTAAAATCTAAACAAAATAACATACGGTTCCTTGTTTGCTTTTTGTAAACAAAAATTTGTTTGCCAATGAATGAGGCCTGACTGACAAAGATTTCTCTGTGAGCTCAAAGTATGAGGATGTTGAGTAAAGATGACATGAATGACGTTGATGGTTAAGATTTGAGTGATATAAAGATGATGATAACCATGGCAAGCATTTCAATGTACTATGTTATAATTATGTTATTCAATTTATGTCGGACACTATAGATTAGACTAGACATCAATTGTACTGGAAAATTGCATAAAAAGTGGCTTTTTATTTACCTGTCTTGCTATCGATAACAAACAGGCATTGACCGCATGATTCAATAGAAAATGTCACCAAATCACCATCTGGGTCGGATGCATAAACGGTATTGATCTTGTAACCTTCCTCGACTGTATCATCAACATCAAACGCATAGCTAGACTCACTAAATATCGGGCTCATGTCATTAATATTCAAGAGATCAATCCGAACTGATGCTGTACTTGATTTACCACCAAGGTCAACAGCAGTGACAACAAAATCGTACACAGGATTAGATTCATAATCCAACTTGCTTGTAGGATAAATATTACCATCCTCATCGATTCTGAATGGTTCCCCAACCGGAATTGACAGTAAAACTGATCCATAAAACTTGCCATCTTCATCACTGACAACAACTTTGTAAAAATTAAAATAAATTTAGGTTTTATTACATTTACTTACTTTTACTTGTTTAATTATGATTTTCATAATCATCAGATAAAATCATAATGAAAAATTGGGCTAGGCCTAAGCAGGTCCTAGAACCTATATAGCCCCACCTAGCTAAGGTATTGCCCAGCTAAAGCCTAAAGCCTACTCTACACTAGGCTTACTGGCCTACCACCTATGCTAGGTCTTGCTCATCCAAATCTAGCCTAGACCTAGGTGCTGGACAAAGCTGGTGTCAAGCCAGGGCAGGCTGGTCAAGCCAAGGCCTAGCTATCCTACACATACTAAGTTAGCCTGGGTTCCAGGCCCTAATTTTAGGTTACTCACTCTTTATTGCACTTAGTGCGCGCCATACCTAATTTAATTGGCGTCCCATACTCGATTTCTTTTTTTTCGAATTCCGTCTATCTCTAAATTAACTTTCTCGTTAGTGGCGCTGTCCAGAATGAGAAAAATAATAAAAAAATAAGAGACTTGTGGCAAGTCTAATACTAAGTGAGTGGTAGGCCTGAATACAGTCGTCTTGGGCAATCTACAATCACAAAGTAGTAGTATTACATCATTACATGGCAAGTAAGATGTTGTTGGACTTACCTTGGCCAACACTAGTATCAAGACCAACACCTTCCGAAATATCTCGAAAATGGTAAACGAACTGAGTAAACACAGGACCATTGTCATTAACATCCAGTATATTAATGTGTACCTGTTTAGGATCAACCAATCAGAATTAAGTGTCAAACTTTAGAAAAGTTTAATGTGACGTCATGTGCATGTCTATTATAAACATTCCTGATGTTTAAATTGCGAAGTACATACCGGGGTACATACCTTTCATTAAAATTAGCTGCGATTTGAATATGCTACAATTAGAAAACTCTTACAAACCACTTCAGATGCAAAAGAGTGCATTTGAAACTTACAATCAATATTCTGAAGAGGCCTTCTTAGTTACGTTGTTCTAAAATTCTAGGTGTCCCCGTGACAGAAAGTGTCCCCTACTACTGCGCATGCGCTTCAACCATAATTTTCATGTTTATTCATGCCTTTACATGTCACAGGGACACCTAGAATTTTAGAACAACATCAGCACCTCCTTTGGAACCCAAAACAGCCCCTCCGCATAATAATTAAATATAATATTTTGATATCGTCCTTTCTATCTGAATTCGACACCAGAAATACTACGAGAATAATAGTATACGAATGTATGAGCAATTTCATACATTCATTATATTCTCGTAATTAGGCCTATATCTGTACGAAAAATTTCAGATACATTATGGGCGCGCGTATGTATCGGTGGTCTTTTTTTTTCTAGCAGTTAAGTTTCAGAATCTTGGTTCCGACTACTGTACGTTATGGGTTTGGAAATGTCAAGAGAAGTGAGCCTTCCAGCTCCCATGCCCTGTGTGAATCGATACCATGTATTGATAATAACTACCTACCACAGATATACTTTCTCCATGGCTATCAGCTGCTTTTATTCTGAGCACATAGCTGCCGAATGTTTCTCTGTCTAGTTTCGTTTTCAGAGTTATTACCCCATCTTTATCAATCACGTGATCAATTCCTGTAGGCTGCTCTTCAATAGTATATGATACAGTTTCCGAACGATCAAAAGATTTTGCTTTTACGGTAATTAGGCTGAAAAATAGCATGCATTGTACAACTTTTTACAATACTGAGATAACCATATATGCCTAGGCCTACTCAACTTATATTCCAATTTAAAGTGGTTTTTACATTGACGCCACAATCCATCCCATATGCACCATTTTATGTCTGTTAAATTAAAGACATAAGTCTGAAATCGCAACCCTTCACTGATTGGGATGATGGTACCTGTAATTTTTAGTTCTTTTGCATTCTTTCTTCGACAGATTCCTCTTCTGTTTTTTTAAATTTATATTATATATATA